CCCCCCCGTTCCTTGTCCCCTGACTACCCCTCCTGGGACCCCTGCTCCTAACTGCCCTCCAGAACCCCACCCCCTACCTAAGCCTAAACCTGTTCCTTGTCCCCTAACTGCCCCCTCCTTAGACCCCCCCACCCTAACTGCCCCCCCAGGATCCTACCCCCTACCTGTACCCTGACTGCCCAAAACCTTATCCACCCCTCCACCCCCAGAAAGCCCCCCCCCGAACGCCCGACTCCCCCCCTGTCTCTTGACTGCTCCCTCCAGAACCTCCCTGCCCCTTCTCTGACCCCCTGGCCCCCTTACCCTGCCGCTCAGACCAGCGTGCCGGGGAGGAGGAGCAGGGGGAGGAACTCCAGACTGCCGGTGCGAACGGCCGGCTGGTGATCTGCGAATGCAGGGAGGGAGGGAGGGAGTGATCTCAGCTGCAGGGGAGAGGAGGGGGAAGCGGAGGAGGGGCTCTCTCTGGCTGTCGGAGCCCCATGTAAATGGCACCATCCGTCCGGCTGCCCTGTCAGCAGCACGTGCTTTGCAGGGGGGGCGGGGAGTCCGGACATTTACAAATTCCCCCCGGACGCTATTTTTAACTCTAAAAGCCGGACATGTCCGGGGGAATCTGGACGAATGGTAACCCTATCATATGCCCGAGTCACAGGCTTGTCTCTGGCGCCCGGCACCGCAGGGGATGAGCTCCACACAGGAAGGGAGTCAGCCCCCACTAGGAGGCAGGAAGGGGTCTTTATCCCCATTCTACACAGAGGGAAACTGAGGCACAGACAGATTCACTTTCCTTAGTGAGCTCCCAGGGGCTGGGACTGTCTCTTCACTCTGTGTTTATGCAGCGCCTGGCACAACAGGGCGGGGGCCCAGCGAGACCCTGAGCACAGATACAGCCCCTGCCTGGCTTCATGAAAACTTGAACCAAAATTATTACTGACTCGTATTAATTACCAGGATCCCCTGTCGTGGGCCAGCTCCCCCGTGTGCTCGGAGCTGTACAGACACACGACACAGAGACGGTCCCTGCCCCAGCCAGGTGCCACTCACACCTGGAGTCACTGTGGAGCAGGTCTGGGCGCAGCTGTCCCTATTTCGGGGGAGGAACGTCCCTGTGTCTATAGAGCTACAGGGGAGCCTGTCTGCCAACCGGGGCTGTATCAAACCGGGGGAGGGGGGCTAATACCGAGAGTCCAGACTCACTCTGAGACCCCCTGAGCACCCAGCTGGGTGTGGGGCTGGGAGCAGGGACGGTCCCTGCCAGCTCTCTGCCTGGCCCCTTCGATGACACAGCTCGGCCACCGGGTCCCTTTCCACTGGCTCCCCGCTCAATGCGTCCCTTCATTTCTGGTGCCGGTTGCTACCTCACTGTTGTTTCCAGGCTGCTTCTGAGCAGTGACCTTGTGCAGCTCCCACTGCTCCTTAACCCGACAGCCCCCAGCCCAGGTGGGCATCACACAGCCAGCCAGGGAATGCAGTCACAGGCTGGGGGCGGAGCGGCTGGGCAGCCCTTGGGCCCTGACTCCTCTGTATGTCACCAGACCTGGGGCACCTGGGGGAGCATCCCCCGTGGAAAGATCCCGGCTCTGCAGCTCCCCCTGGGGGCAGGGCCATGTTCCCACTAATTTTTTACATCCATGTGCGGAATCAGTTTTGTTATGTGCACATAGAGGTGATGTGTGGCAGCAGGGGTGGGGTCGAGGGGTTCGGAGTGTGGGAGGGGGCTCAGGGCTGGGGCCAAGGGTCGGGGTGTGGGGGGTGAGGGCTCCGGCTGGGGGTGGGGGCTCTGGGGTGGGGCTGGGGATGAGGGATTTGGGGTGCAGGCTGCCCCAGAGCTGTGGCAGGGAGAGAGGACTTCCCCCAGCCCTCTCTCACTGCAACAACCCAGGGCCGGGGGAGAAGTTCCTCTCCCTGTCCGCAGCAGGTTAGAGGAAACTTGGGGCAGAGATCCACACACCCTCAGCCCCGAATTTCCAGTGGCTGCTGCTCCCCCATGGCTGAGGAACCCCCCAGTGACTCGTGTCCTGGCGCTGACCCTGACACCAGATGGTGGCGTCTGCCCCTGGGGCGGTGACCCCAGTGGGGCTCAGAGAGATGGAGGGTCTGGGTAAGCTGGGATCTGCGCACAGGAGACAGGCTGTGAGACCCAGACCTGGGCACCCACCCAGCCTCGGCCTCCCCGGCCCACCCCAGCCATGGGCAGATCCAGGGGACCGCAGGCAGAGATTCTCTCCCAGATCCCAGAGTTTCCCCTGACCCAGGATCCCGGCCCTGCGAGCTGGGATCCCAGCCCCACAGACACCGAGCCGTGGCTCCCTAGTTCTTGGGATCCTCATATGCCCGTGTGTGGCCCCTGCCTCATTCACTGCATCTGGCCTGCCCTGGACACAGAGCGACGGGGCTGTTCTCTGGCACAGTGCACAGCTGGAGCTGACCCCTGTATCGGCTTCCCGCAGACGGAGTCAAGTCCAAGCTCTCTGTCCTGATCTCCGAGGTGCCCGAGGGCTGAGGCCAGCGTATTCCTGGCTCCGGCTGCAGGGTGCTGCGAGTGCCGGGTGCGTGGGCCCGGGCTGGCCACTTGAGGACAAGCCGCCCAGGGCGCTGGGTGCACACACGAGCGGCTAGTCCTGCCTGGCCATGGCTCCATTGCTATTTTCAGCTCCATCAGAGCTGGCCCGGGTGCCGCACGCCGGCCCCCAGCTGCAGGGCAGACACCCAACAACAGCCCCCAGCTCTGGGGTGACCCCCCGGTGACGGCCCCCTGCCTCCGGCCCGGCCACCATCAGGGTCACGCTCGTCTGGGCAGGGGACAGAACTTCCTCCAGGGCCGGGCCCAGGCTGCAGAACGAGCTCCCCCAGCAGCCAAGGGCCCCCCAAACCTCCCCACCTCCGGCTCCAAGACCCTCCGCGGTGGGCACAGACCTCCCCCGGGGAGAGGATGAGAGAGAACGACCCGCCCGTGACAGACGGGGCCACGTCGCTTAATGCTCGACTGGCAGGTGCCCGACACCACGGTGACCAGAGCAGCGTCAGACCATGTGCAGGGTAGAAGGCTACTCCCCCCGGCTAGGACCCCCCCAGTGACTCCGTCCCCGCTCCCCGGCCGGGCGTCCCCTCTGCTGGGCCCAGGGCTCAGGGCAGAGCCTGGCTCTGAGTGGCCCATCGGTGTGAGCCCCCCGGGGATCTAGCTGGGTGTGGGGCAGGAGATGCCGGGCTGGGCCCCTCACCTGCTACAATGATCTGCACAGGGTCGCTGGCCTCCGAGTAGGCAACTGATCCTGTTCTGTTGTGATAACGACAGGTGTAGCTGCCACCGTGTTCCCGTCTGGCGCTGGTGATGGGAAATTCAGCCTCAGAGCCAGCAGGGTCTGTGTAATTCGGATAGTTCCCAACTCCAGCCTTGTAGAGGAGGAACCTCAGGCCCAGGCGCTGATGCCGACACCGGATGGTGACGTTTCCCCCCACGGGGATCACCCCACCGGGGCTGACGGAGATGGAGGGTTTGGGGAGGGACCCCTCTGGATTCACAAACAAACAGGCAGTAAGTGAGGGTGACACAAACTGCGTCCGTCTGATTCAATCCTCTGCCCATCTGTCGCTCCAGCGTTTTGCCTCCCGCCCGTCCCTGGGGTGCAGGCCCGGCCCCGCAGCTCACAGCCGGGGAGAGACACAGGACGGGGGAAAGGAGATTTCCAATCCTCCAGGGTCAATTCAGCCCTGTCCCCACTGCAGTCAGGGGTGACTCTGGATTGACCCCAGGGGCTGAGATCAGAATCACCCGCTTCTGTTTTTCTAACATTGTAGCAGAGCTGCAGTTCTGCTGGAGTTGGGCTGAACGTGGATTATTCTTTAAAATATTCTAAAAACCACATTTACTCCAATTGTCCGGCAATGTGCTGTATGCACAGGAGTGCGGGGTGGGGTTCGTGTGACAAATTTGAGTCCTTTGAGCAAAGCCTCCGAAAAACACATTTGCAAAATCCCCCGGTTGTTCTAACATTTTCCTGCCCACCCCTGGGGCTCAAACTCTGGCTGTGAGAGCCAGACCTGGGCACCCACCCAGCTCCGGCCTCCCCGTCCTGCCCCAGCCATGGGCAGATCCAGAGGACTGCAGGCAGATATTCCCTCCCAGATCCCAGAGTCCCCCCGACCCAGAATCCTGGCCCTGCGAGCTGGGCTTCCAGCCCCACAGACACCGAGCCGCAGCTGCCTAGTTCTTGGGATCCTCATATGTCGTGTGTGGCCCCAGCCTCATTCACTGCATCTGGTCTGTCCTGAACACAGAGCGATGGGGCTGTTTATGCTGCAGTCTGTGGTGCTCCTGGATTCCTCCGCGGCCACTGAGCTCTCACGTAGGAGCGTCCATGAGCAGCACTTTCCCCCTGCTGCGCTGGGCTAGGAGACGCTGTCCCATCCTGGTGGCAATGACCTCCCCTCGGGTCACGCCGTCGGTGCCCATTGGCCAGACCGCGCTGTGATAGAGCTGGGTAGGAATCCATAGGCCCTTCGCAGACTCCACCTGCCCCAGACGCTGCAGCGCGGCTCCTCCCCAGCACAGGCTGCCGCGAGGGCACCATGCCCGGCCCCTGCTCCCGGCATCGGCTTCCCGCAGACAGAGTCAAGTCCGAGGTCTCTGTCCTGATCTCCGAGGTGCCCGAGGGCTGAGCCCAGCATATTCCCGGCTCCGGCTGCAGGGTGCTGTGAGTGCCGGGTGCGTGGGCCCGGGCTGGCTGCTCGAGGACAAGCCGCCCAGGGCGCCGGGTGCACACGCGAGCGGCTAGTCCTGCCCGGCCACGGCTCCATTGCTATTTTCAGCTCCATCAGAGCTAGCCCGGGTGCCGCACGCCGGCCCCCACCTCCAGGGCAGACACCTGACAACAGACCACATCTCTGGGGTGACCCCGGGGTGACGGCTCCCTGCCTCCGGCCAGGCCACAATCAGGGTCACGCTCATCTGGGCAGGGGACAGAACTTCCTCTGGGGCCGGGCCCAGGCTGCAGAACGAGCTCCCCCAGCAGCCAAGGGCCCCCCAAACCTCCCCACCTCCAGCTCCAAGGCCAGGCGCCCTCCCCCGGCCGGCCTGCTCCGTTATCGACCCGGGGCAGCGCAGCCATTGACCCCCCCAAACCGCCCCAGACCAGACCCTCCGCGGGGGCACAGAGCTCCCCTGGGAGAGGACGAGAGAGAACGACCCACCCGTGACAGACGGGGCCACATCGCTTAATGCTCGACTGGCAGGTGCCCCGACACCGCGGTGACCAGGGCAGCGTCAGACCATGTGCAGGGTAGAAGGCTGCTCCCCCCGGCTGGGAACCCCCCAGTGACTCCGTCCCCGGTCCCCATCTGGGCGTCCCCTCTGCTGGGCCCAGGGCTCAGGGCAGAGCCTGGCTCTGAGTGGCCCATCGGTGCGAGCCCCCGTGGATCTAGCTGGGTGTGGGGCAGGAGATGCTGGGCTGGGCCCCTCACCTGCTACAATGATCTGCACAGGGTCACTGGGCTCTGAGTAGGCAGCTCGTACTGTTCTGTTGCTATAACGACAGGTGTAGATGCCACCGTGTTCCCGTCTGGCGCTGGTGATGGGAAATTCAGCCTCAGAGCCAGCAGGGTCTGTGTAATTCAGATAGTTCCAGTCTCCAGCCTTGTAGAGGAGGATCCTCATGCCCAGGCGCTGATGCCGACACCGGATGGTGACGTTTCCCCCCATGGGGATCACCCCACTGGGGCTGACGGAGATGGAGGGTTTGGGGTAGAACCACTCTGGATTCACAAACAAACAGGCAGTAAGTGGGGGTGACACTAACCACGTCTGCCTGATTCAATCCTCTTCCCGTCTGTCACTCCAGCGTTTTATCCCCCGCCCGTCCCTGGGGTGCAGGCCCGGCCCCATGGATCACAGCCAGGGTGAGACACAGGATGGGGGAAAGGAGATTTCCATTCTCAGATACCTTCAGTTCTCCAGGGTCAATTCAGCCCTGCCCCCGCTGCAGTCAGGAGTGACTCCGGATTGACCCCAGGGGGCTGAGATCAGAACCCAGCCCAGCCCCCACTGCAGTCAGGGGTGACTCCGGATTGACCCCGGGGAGATCAGAATCACCCTCCTTCTGTTTTTCTAACACTGTAGTAGAGCTGCACCTCTGTAGTAGTTGGGCTGAACATGGATTATTCTTTAAAATATTCTAAAAACCACATTTACCCCAATTGTCCGGCAATGTGCTGTATGCACAGGAGTGCGGGGTGGGGTTCGTGTGACAAATTTGAGTCCTTTGAGCGAAGGCTCCAAAAAACACATTTGCAAAATCCCCCCGTTGTTCTAACATTTTCTACCTACTCCTGGTGCTCAAACTCTGGCTCTGCTCCGCCCCAAACCTCTCCCAGCCGCTGGGGATTTAGCTCCGCTCTGCACGGTGTTGTCCCACAAACTTACACAGGATCGTTTTAGGGGTCAAGACAAAGATGCCACATTTATTATTAATCTGTAACTCTTAGCAAATACCTTAATGCTTATACACACACACTCACACACACACACACCAAAATGTTCTGCAGCTGCTGGATAGTTACCAGTCCTGATTGCAGTTTGAGTTCGCAGCTTGGGATTGTAGCTCGTGGCAGCTAACTGGCCAGGAAAGCTGAGCACGAGGAGGAGCCGGGTCTTTGTCGGGCGCGCACCGATGCTCCTTGATGTTGATAGCAGAACGTTACCCAAAGTCTCTCATCTCACCCTTCCTTTTTTATAGGAGTTTAGTTTGGATTCAAAGTTCCTAGGTCTCGCTGTGTCACGCCGCCTCTGGGTTTGGTGCTTGATCACCCATCAATTGCAGGCGTGACTGTCAGCCTGGGACCTGGCTTTGATCTTCCTTCTGTTGTTTCTTTTTAGGGTGGATGCTTTTTGCTTGAGTTAGGGCTGTTGTCTAGTTCTTCAGCCTTTGGTATTTGAACTTAATCTCATCAGGACGGGCTGGTGCTGGAGGTTGATTCTATCACCCATGCATCCCTCATTCACACATCTCAACTAGACTAATAAAATTACAGCAGGGTTTGCAACAATGAAGGTTGCAGCAAGCCCTTACAAAATGGAGTAAGCGTTTTAAAATGGGGTTTGAATTACAATATGGCACAGAAGTTACAATGTAGGCAAAATGGCAGGTGTTATGAAATGGTGAACAGAAGTTACAATGGTGCAGGATAACTAAAAACAATTTCATTCATGAGTCCTACAATGGTGCCGGCGGCCCCTCTGGGGACGGGATATTCCCAAAGCTTTTCAGGGGACATTCCGAACGCCGGGTCAGGCTGAGCCGGACCCACAAGCAAAGCAGTGACACGCGCGTGTGCAGCAAGCCGAGGGTGAGACACAACGGTGCCTTGCTCCAGTCCCTCTGCGTGTCCATGTCTTACAGCCCTGCTCTGCCTGACCCGTTCCCCGGGCTCCTGCCAGCTCCCCGGGCACAGTGTGGGGGTGCTGCGGGGTGGCTGGTGCCTTCACTCTGTATTTCCTGGGGGCAGAGCTTTGAGTGCAGGTGAATTCACCCTGTGTGGTGCCCATCCCTATAATGAGTGGGAGGAGGTCTTGGTCCCCACCTCTGGGTGTGGGAGGGAGCAGAGATCTGATAGGATCATCCCTTTGGGGGATCTGCACCCCCCCACCCCCCACCCACGTCCCTCGTCCTTAATGTGGAAATTCCCTCAGCTGCCCCATTCCCCACAAATACTCACCTTCCGACACCCCGCTCCGCCCAGCAAACCAGCAGCCTGGAAAGGAGAAGGGCCGTTAAGGACCAGATCCCAGAGCAACTGGATCCTACACCCTGGTCTCAGATCCCCCCCATGGACACACGCCCTGGCTGTCTCCGATACTCACCGAGGAAGAGGACGGTGAGAGCAGACGCCATGACGGGGTCAGGGAGGGGCCCCTCAGCGCTGCCACCAACACCCCAGTGCCCAGCTCCACCGAGCCGCAAATAAGGAACTCAGCTGCTGTCTGCCTCTACAGGAAGTCGACGATGTCTCGTCTCTTCCTGTGTCCATCAAACATTGTCTCAAATCTGCGAGTGAAATCTAGTGCGGTCAAAGTAAGCAGAGGTCTTTGCAAAACGAAAGAAACCCAGTGATCGTCAGCCTAGCCAAGCGTCATGCAGCTCACAGCTTGTCTGTGTCTCTGTGGAGAGGGGGGACAGGTCACCCTAAACCTACCCTGCAGCCTTGAGGAAGGTGCATGAGGCTGAGAGCCAGGCAACCATGGGGTCTGGTCTTCAATCTTCCACTGACCACGATTTCCATGAAAAATCCAGCCCCTTTTCATTCTGGGTTCAAGCCCGGCTGATGACCCATGTAGGTAACTTTAATATGTGATTATGCAATTAAAGGCTGGCGTTGTAATGGTCCTGCATGAGGGGGCAGAGTTAAGGTCGTTCAGAATGCCGTAACTGGGGTATTTCTTGTTGCTGGAGGGTTTGACTCTGCAGCCTTCCCTCTCAGCCTGCAAACCTGCCCACCTGCGACATGAGCCGTGGCACCGTGTGAGGAGCGGGCGCGATGGGGGACGCCTGGGTTTGCTGCCCCTTGTGCCATAGCTGAGCAGTGATGACGGCTTTACACTGTAACGCCTGGTTTTAAGGGGCTTTTCTCAGTATGTGAATTAAATAAACCAGGTTCAAAAGAAAATGTGAAGAGAAATTCCATCCCGGGCCCCCAACAGGTCACCAGCCGGGAGAGACCCAGGGACCTTCTAATGCCCCCGCAGAGACCCTGCCCCCGAGCTGGAGGAGACACTGTCAGTGGTTATGTGGCCAGGCCCCCAGAGAGGGACGTGACACAGGCTTTGTTTATATGCCATTGGCTAGAGGGCAGCAGAAAGCTGGGGGTCAGGGGGCTCCATTCCCAGCTCCAGGAGGGGAGTGGGGTCTAGTGGTTAGAGCAGGGGGCTGGGAGCCAGGACCCAGGTGTGATGGTTGCGCCGTCGCCCGTCCGTTCTCACCCAGTGCTGGGTAACGCCGGGGGCACCGCGACTCGGGGGCAGCGTTAAAGGTGCTGCAGGAGCCCGGCCGGATGGTCCCAATGGGCCTTAACTCCGCCACCCCCCTTGCTCACCAGCTGCCCCTCAACCGCCTGGGAGCCTCAGTTCTTGGTCCCACGGAGCAGGAGGGGGACGAGCAACAGATTCACCCACAGCTAACACCCCTCAAACTCTGCCTGCCCCCCAACTCCCATCCTGCCCCCTGGCCTATCCCCCTTCGAATCCCCCTTGAGCCTGCTCCCCGCACACCCTGCCCCCACCACGGCCCCTCCCTCCTCACACCCTCGTCCCCTGCCCTGTTTCCCCTCAAATGCCCATCCCCTCCTCCAGTTACGATGGCCGCCATCTCTCATTGTCCCCACTGGGCTTGGAGCCAGGCTGCCCTATGGGAAATGGCACCTACCTGTGACTGGGAGGGGGGCAGGAGAATATGGGGGGTGGCAGAATGTGGGGGAACATTGGGGAGTGGGGGCTGAGGGGTAGGAGCTATGGGGGGGCAGGACAGTGGGGGGGAAGGGGGGACAATGGAAGTTGCCTAGGGTTACCATACGTCTGGATTATCCCGGACATGTCCGGATTTTGGGGTTTTAAATAGCCGTCCGGGAGGACTTTGTAAAAATCTAAAGCCGGGCCGGATTGAGCCGCTCGCATGGGGCTCCGGCAGTGAGAGCCCCTCCCTTGCTTCACCCTCTCCCCTGCAGTCTCAGCGCCCCGCGCCGGCAGTGCTCTGGGGGGGCGAGGCTGTGCACTCCGCGGGAGAGCGCGGCAGCATGTCTGGCTCCGTGTGGTCTGAGCGGCACGGTAAGGGGGTTGGGGGGTTGGAGAAGGGGCAGCGGGTCCCAGGGGGCAGTCAGGGGACAAGGAGAAGGAGGGTTTGGATGGGCCAGGGGTTCTGGGGGGGCCTGTTAGGGTGCGGGGGTGTGGATAGGAGTCGGGGCAGTCAGGGGACAGGTGGGGGTGGAGTCCTAGTGGGGGCAGTTAGGGTGGGAGGGTCTCAGGAGGGGGCAGTCAGGGACAAGGAGAAAGGAAGCTTAGATAGGGGGTAGGATCCGGGGGGGGGCGGTTAGGGGCAGGGGTCCTGGAGGGGGCGATCAGGGGACAAGCAGCGGGGGGGTTGGATGGGTTGGGGGTTCTGTGGGGGGCAGTCAGGGGGCAGGAAGTGGG